TAAAACATGTAGTAAACCTCAATATATACAAGACCAGTTTTAATATATGGGGCTGAAACGTAGACCTTATCTTAAAATGATAAAAGACTTCTTGGTATTTTAAAAAAGAATTCTTAGAAAAATTTTTGAAGCCGTAAATGAAAATGGGCTATGGCGTCGAAGATACAACTTTGAACTATATCAGTTATATATGTATTGATCCAGATGTTGTGAAATTCTTTAAAGTGCAGAGACTTAGATTGGCTGGACGTGGACACGTTGCTAGGATGTCATATCACGAATACACTAAGAGATTCAAATTTTCAAAACCAGAGGGCACAAGAAGCAGAGGACGACCATGAGGGAGATGGATTGATGATTAGAAGAAGACCTACAGATTTCAAGGGTAAGAAGATGGAAAGAAGTTGCCAGAAATCGAAAGGAGTGGCGACTGCTTCGCTAATGGTGATAATGAATTATTTTACTATAAGAAAATAAAAAGTTGGAAAAAAATATTTAGAATTTTAGAATTATTTAAGAAAGTAATACATTATTGATAGGGAATTATGATGAATACATCCTACATATGATTCATCGGAGCTAGGATTAAACTATATAATTCTGAGCCCATTCCTAACTTTAAACGTAAAGAACACTTGTAAAGAAATTCTAAAAAAAACTTTGTCAAACTTTTATTCTTTACTTACTTTCTCTGAAATTTGACTACAGGGTCAGCTAGAATATCGCTCATGTCAATATTCTTTCCTTTAATTTTAACGTCCGGGTGTTTTTTCATTAATAGCCACCCAACATGACAAAAGAAAAATCCTCTGTTCGAATTGTGAGGATCAGCACTGGTGTCTGTATATTTGTGGTGTAATCTGTGATCTCTAGACCAAATGTAAAGATCATTCTGAAGGGCAGATGTCTGCATCAACATTAAAAAGATTCTTAAGGGCAGTTTCGCTTTGTAAGTTCTATGAGCCCAAAGACGATGAGCTCCAGCTGTGACCCCTAATAAACCCAAGTAGGCAAGAACTAAACCTGGAAATAAAAAAAAGTTAAACAATGGTTTAATAACCATTAAAATTGTAAACGCTATATACCTATATGCTCTTAAATATGAGGTTTAGTTTTAAGTAAACTTAGAAAATGCAGTTTACATTTTAACTAGATGCGGCATTAAGATAAGCACAATAACTGTAGTTTTAATGTTTTACATAAAATAGAAATAACCTACATAATTTCTAGGAAAGAATTGGTAACTTGGTAATGATATTATTTATAGATATTATATATAATATTCAAATTTCCAATTCTTTCATAGAAATTAGATTTTTTCTATTGTACGTAAAATATTAAAAATACAGTTATGTTGTTTCTATAAATAGGTCTTCATTTTTTTTGTAAAACTTCTGCTACAAATTACCATCATTAACATAATCACCTAAATATGGCCGTAAACTTGTTTGTCATAATTAATATTTGATAAACTCCAAGCTTTCCCTATTTCACCCCCTACTCATCCTAAGGATGGATAGGGGGTAAAAGTGCTTTTGGAAAACGAAACTACACTTCAAAATTTAGTCCGAGTTTCAACAGAGAGCATGGAATCCCATAAGTTTAAATCCGGTGAATTATTTAACGGTTGCGCTAAACTCGTAGTGTTAAATGTGTTGTGTTTTTTACCAAATTCGGAACAACTTAATGTAAGAGCTGCTGTAAGACGTACTTCGTTGATGACTGGTGTTAGCGAAAGAAGCATTTACAATTTCAAAAAAGAAAAAGAACAGGGTGGAACTTTTTTTTTTTTTAATTTTTAAAAGTGAAACTGGAACAAACCATGAAGTGGAGATGTCCAGGGGTGGAACAGGGTGGAACGTTGAAATCGCCAAAAAAACGTAAAAAAACGAGTGTGTCAATCAAATTCTAGAATATTCACATATGACGAGGGTGTAAGAAGTATTCTACGGAGAATTGTTCATTGTGAATTTTTCATGAAAAATTTGCCGCCATTCTTAAAGTATATACATAACTTCATTCAAGGTAATGAGAATATACAGCCGTTGTCTCTTTCTACTTTATACAGACTTCTGAAAGCTATTGGATTTGTTTATAAGAAAGAAGCATCATGGTGGAGCGAGAGGATATTATTCATTGGCGCCATAGTTATTTGAGAACTATACGACGTTTGCCAAAAGACCATTGCAATATCATATATTTGGACGAATCGTGGGTTAATGTTGACCAATCTATAAATTACGAATGGTGCGATACTATGATACAAAACAGTCGTGATGCTTTTCTCAAAGGTTTAAGTACTGGCTTAAAAGCACCTACTAAACGAGGTCAACGATATGTATAATTGCATGCAGGTTTTTCAGGAGGTTTCCTTCCTGGCACACAGCGTGTTTTTGTGGCAAAGAAAAATGATGGCGACTATCACGATGAAATGGATGCCGCATATTTTAAGTCGTGGTATAAGGAGACATTAATATCAAATTTACCACATAACGGTCACAGGAATGTCATTGTAATGGACAATGCATCGTACCACTCCCGTAAAGAGAGATTCCCTAACAATTCCTGGAATAAAGCTGCAATCAAGGAATGGTTAGTGGAAAAAGACATTTTTTTCGTGTGTTCGTGTGTATTCGAGTGTTATTTGAAATCCGAGCTATTAGAAGCAGCGCGTGCTTTTAAAGATCAATACGATAAGTATCATCTTGATGAGTATGCTTCACAACATAATGTTTATATTTTAAGGCTTCCTCCATATCAATGCGAATTGAATCCTATAGAAATGGTGTGGAACCAAGTTAAGCGATATGTAGGTACCTATAATACCACTTTAAAAACGAGGTACGCCAGTTGATCGACGACAGTTTCGCACGCGTCACAGAGCAAAATTGGCGCAATTATGTCACTTATGTTGTTGAGAAAACGGAAATGAGATGTGGACTGCGGACAACCTGCAAGATGACGTAGACCAATTGATAATACACGCGAACACAGGTTAGAGTAGCGAAAGCGAATCCGACATCTCGGATGTAGAGGACGACTTTAGTATAATTAATTGAATATCTGTGAGTAACCTCGATTATTTTACACTGTATAACCAATAAAATGCATTTACCAGTCCAATCAGAGTATGGGCTTTTCGGATATTGGGCTGGGTGCACGGAAATCGAGTTCCCGGAGGTTCCACCCTGTATATTTATAGCTATCAAGAAATGTAATTTAAAATATATTTGTTAGTTGAATAAAGTATAAATATAGTATAATGTTAAATAACTTACACTATAAACCTTATACCTGCTCATCTGGTCAAGTGTGGGCAAGGAAACCATTATCCCATATGGAATAACACAAGGTTTCGCTGAAAACTACCAGGTTGCTATGGCAAGGAACTAGGTAAACTTATGTTGTGTGTAAAAAATGCGAAACTGCCATATGTTTTAATAAGGACAAAAACTGCACTTCAGATTTACACAAAAAAAATTTCATAGTAGGTGTTAAAATTTCGCAGTGATTCAAGTGCGCAACTTGTTTTTTTAATAACATCGCCGGGATTAAAAAATGTGCAAAGCTTTTTCGATATTCCCGTTCCTGATAATTTGTCACATATTTACAAAAGAAAAAGTTTTTCTTGGATATTGGACTGGGTGCACGGAAATCGAGTTACCAGAGGTTCCACCCGGTATATTTATAGCTATCAAGAAATGTAATTTAAAATACATTTGTTAGTTTAATAATGTATACAGTTTTATAATAATATGCTCGCTAAAAACATCGCTCGCTTATTTAAATTCATGCCTCTTATTTGGCTACTTGAAGGTAATTATTTTATCAATATATTATTTTATAATAAATAACAGAGCCCGGCGTAGAGATCTGGGTACGGTTCTGTGACTACCACTTGGACCTGTTTGTATCGCCAAGCACAAGGCGTGAAATCCGGCAATTGTGCATTCCTATATTAGCCGTACTGCACTCTCGGTGTGACATTTTTTATAGTTAATGTGTTACAGAACCATTATATTAATACCAGCATAGAGAAAATATTCTTTTAAACAAAAATGAAACAGCTAAACAACAAAAATCTTTTTTGTAGATTTTATTAATACGCTACAAGATAAAATGTTACATTTGCAACTGATTCATCAACGTTAAAATTATTGCACGAAGGATCCCATATTATTATTATCCCATATTAAAACCAAAACGGTTTGGGAAAGTTTTTTAAACATGACAGGAAGTTCCTCGGCAAGGCGATTTGAATACAAGGCCAACATAAGAGTACAACCAACTTCAATCAGTCGAAGAAAGTAACTACAGGGTTAAATAGATTACCATTTGGACAACCACCTAAAGTTCAACCTAGGAAAAGAAAAGGTTTAAGCGGCGTCACAATATTTCGTCCAACATCGTAGCCAATCAAACAAATGCAACTAAAAATGGCAAAAGACATTGAGTTTGGTATAAATATAACATTTTAAAATTTTAAAACTTACTATTACTAATATAAATATATTTTGTTTTATTTCCTATTGCACTGATTTACTTTTTTTTAATAATACGTACAACGTTTAAAACAAATATTTTAAAATCATTCGCCTTTTCTGATTTTATTGAAAAATCGTCTTTTTTGGTCTGCAAAGATTTAACATTCGGTATATGAATTTCGCACCAAAGTAACATTCCATATACGTGTTTGTCACCTCGCCGCCTATTGGTTGAAATAGAACTGACCAAATAGAAATTGACCAATAGAAAAGTCCTAGGTGCCAAATACATATACGGAATGTTTAGATGCGTACGGTGTAGCCAATTCTTGTTCACAAGTAGTAATTATGGTCATACAAAACCTGTATTCTTCCACACAGCGTTTATTACCGTCATAAAAATACCAAAAAACATGATTTTTCAATAGTAAAAATTAAGCAAAAAATTATAATTAAATAAATTTTATTTATATGTTCCGTTTCGTTACATATTTAAATTTATAAAATAAAAATCCGCCCTTTTTACAACATTATTTTTAGATCGTTTGGCAACTTTAGAATGAGCGTCGAAACTCCGATCTACAATTCCGACCAACAGATAGCCGTAAAACTCGTTTTTGTTATTTTACGGCCGAACAATTGCCGGTCAAGAAATCAACAATCGTTCATTTACATTGGCGTTTCTGAGGGTAGTGCATGTGTTGCATTTTGTGGGTATATTTTATGTGATTTTATTTGATAATGGAACCAGATTATTAAAAGTGAAACTGGAACAAACCATGAAGTGGAGATATCCAGGAGTGGCTAGTATACCTGTTGAATACAAAGCACGTGGTGTTCGTGTGTATTAAGGTATAAAAACGCTTATTAAAAGCTTAAAATTTTTTATTATAAAGAAGATCTTTTCGGAATTGTATCATTCCATCATCAGTTTACTAAAAGAGAGAGTAAAAAATACATACAATATTAAAAACAACAAAGTTAAAATTTGAACATACAAAAAGAGAAAGTTAGTTTTTTACTACTTACATAAAAAAGGTTGTTAAAAAACATTGTGTGGCCACATAAAAAACATTCGGTGGACATCTGGATTTAAAAAATAATATTCTTCGTGTTATTTATTCAGGTAAATGCAATAGACTCTTGACTTGTGTAATATAAAAAATGAAACTGGGGGCATCTTATATGACCCCCTGTAGTTGGTGAGGTTTTATTGACTTACATTACCTCTGATCTGTGTTGGAGTCTAGGGCTAACTGATAGAAAGATGGTATGAAAAATCAGTTAGTACCCGTCAATGTCAAGAGGAATGATGTGGTAGGAGCAAAGTCATTGTGCTTAAGTTTGTGAGTAGGCAGTTTTTAGTGAAGAAATGTGTTTTGTGTGTAGTAGGATCATAAGCAATTTTTGGTATTTTAAAAAACTGATGGGAGAATATAAATCAATGTGTGACTGTGATGCAAAATAAATCGGTATACCAAGGTAGGGAAAAAATTTTATGTAATTTAAGTGGTTAAAATTAATAAATCATTTTAAATGGGATGAAAAGGATGTTATTACCTAATTGTATCGTTGTATTAAATGAGTATATATAAAAGATGGATTGTAATTTATGGAAGATGAGTCGAGGAAAAGAAAAAGAAATAAACGAGAAAGTAAGAAAAGGAAATAGAAAGTGAATGTGACGATGTAAGCTGGGGAAATTGAAACTGATTGTGATAAGAGGTAGATAGATGTAAAAGGAATATTTATAAGAAAATGTGTATGATTGTATGTGTATGATTAAATGAATATATATAAAAGTAGGATTGTAATTTATGGAAGATGAGTAGAGGAAAGGAAAAGAAAAAAGAAATTAACGAGAAAGCAAGAAAAGGAAATAGAAGGTGAATATAGCGATGTAAACTGGGGATATTAAAACTGATTGTGATAAGAGAATAATAGATGTAAAATGAATAATTATAAAAAAATGTGTATGATAAGTGAGATGGTAGTTATTGGAGAGGATGGGTAGTTGGATATTGGCAAAGGGATGATGTTAGTGTATTAATGGTGACAAGTATAGAGTTAAGTATGAATTATTATGTAAGTTGAAATTTAGCTATTGGAAATAAAAAGAAATGTAGAAGTGAAGTAAAATTGGATGGGTAGTTAAAAGAGAGAAAGTTAGTTTAGGAGAATAATTGTCGATGAAGTGGGACGAAGTCTCTGTTTGATGCTGGTGTGACGATTAACACAATTGGGACTATTTTTCTTTTCCTTGACTATTTCCAAATCCTCAAAAAGGTCGAGTTTGAGATAATCTCTACCAGGGATGTTATGAAGAAGAGAGATATCATCTGGTACCTTGATTGTGTGGTTGTGATATTTAAGATGATGTGAAAAAGAAGAAGTGTTCTCTAACTTAGAATGTTCAATGGTACTGGTTACTAGAGATCTACAAGTTCTACCGATGTAAGTGGCATGACAGTCAGAACACGGAAGTTTATAAACTCCACTGCGTTTAGTGAAGTCAATAGGGTCCTTACTATTGCATAATGATCTACTCAATTTATTGTTGACTTTAAAGGAAATCTTAATATTTTCAACAGAATTCAGGATAGTGTTTTTTATTGATTCAGAGAGTGTTGGACAGTGAAATGGTAATGAGAAATAAGATGGGGAATCTAAAGTAATGTTAGGGTAAGCTGATTGTTGAAGCAATTTACGTTTCTTTTTATAAATGAGTTTGTGGATTATATCAGGGTTGTAGCCATTGTTGAAAGCAATCTGTTTGATAATGTTTAGTTCTTGGTTGTAGTTAATTTTGGATAATGGGATGGTTTCTAAACGATGAATAAAACTGTTGAATGCAGATAATTTATGTGAAATGGGATGGTTAGAATTGAAATGTATGACATGATCTGTTTGTGTAGGTTTTCTGTAGATGCTATAATCAAAGACATTATTGGTTCTATTGATGGACAGGTCCAAGAAATTGATGGAGAAGTTTGATTCTAATTCCATAGTGAATTTAATATTGGGGTGAATATTATTGATTTAATATTTTTTTAAAATACCAAAAATTGCTTATGATCCTACTACACACAAAACACATTTCTTCACTAAAAACTGCCTAATCACAAACTTAAGCACAATGACTTTGCTCCTACCACATCATTCCTCTTGACATTGACGGGTACTAACTGATTTTTCATACCATCTTTCTATCAGTTAGCCCTAGACTCCAACACAGATCAGAGGTAATGTAAGTCAATAAAACCTCACCAACTACAGGGGGTCATATAAGATGCCCCCAGTTTCATTTTTTATATTACACAAGTCAAGAGTCTATTGCATTTACCTGAATAAATAACACGAAGAATATTATTTTTTAAATCCAGATGTCCACCGAATGTTTTTTATGTGGCCACACAATGTTTTTTAACAACCTTTTTTATGTAAGTAGTAAAAAACCAACTTTCTCTTTTTGTATGTTCAAATTTTAACTTTGTTGTTTTTAATATTGGTATTTTTACTCTCTCTTTTAGTAAACTGATGATGGAATGATACAATTCCGAAAAGATCTTCTTTATAATAAAAAATTTTAAGCTTTTAATAAGCGTTTTTATACCTTAATACACACGAACACCACGTGCTTTGGAACCAGATTAATAACAGCATGCAGACAAAATAACTTAAAAATATTAAATGCATTTTATCCACATCGCGATATACACAAATACACGTGGATACAACAGACCAGAACAAACAAACAGAGAACTACAATTAAAATACAAGATGTGCTAGTAGCCAGAGAGCCATCATGAGGCACCGATCATTATCTGCTAAAAGTTTAAACGGTACTTACAAACAGTTACGAAAAAGAAAAAGAGCACATCGAGTCAAATCAGTTAATAAAACACGTACGCTACAACATAGACAGTTTACACCTCGATAGTAGCTGCTGTATAAAAAACGATTAGACCAAAAATTAGAAATGGGCTTAAAATGTAAGTAGGAAGGGTTATTAAGGGTTGGACTAAGATAATGATTGTAGAATTGTGATAGAAGGATGGCTAATAATACAGCGAATAAATGACATGATTTTTCGCATGTGGAAAAATTGAACACGGAGCAATGCTACAATGACTGAACTATAAATACTGGTAAGTAACCAGGATGGATAACAATACAACAAAGTCACTGATAAATTTGTATAAATATTATTTAAGCCTTGAATGTACATATAAAAGTATCATAATATGTTCTAAACGTAAGGTATTTTATTGTTCACACTTACCGAATACAAACGATGAAAATGACACGTGACCAGTAGCCAATCTCCAACATCCTATAATTGTTAAATAGTGCATAATAATATATACGATAATATTTGGTATTACTAAATCTTGCTCGAAGTAACCATTTCTTTTAATTTGTTTTTCAGGAAATCGTGCAGATACATTGTTGGTTGAACTTTCTAGTTGATGAAGTACTGGGTCATCTCGTAAAGGTGGCATGGTTACCTAAAATACGATAGAAATATTATAAACATGAATTACTAGACAATATAAGGCAAAGAATATAGCTGACTAGGATTTCTAAAAACACCCTCTAGCGATAAAAAAGTACTTAACCAAAAAAATGTTTTGACTCTCAGACACAAAAATAACCTAAAAAAAAAAATAAAACGTGTTTTTTGACTATATCTTTGGTTCTAATCATCGTAGAAACTTCTTTTTTTAATTTGTACCCTAGTAACAGACGACGTCCTATGGACGTCCAATATATATCCAGTTTTGGTCCGGACGTCCTTGGACGTTAAATGGACGTACTTGGGACGTACTTTGGGTGGACTAAATATGGACGTTCTCTGGACGTCTGTACTCGGACGTTCTCTGGATGTCCGAACTCGGACGTTTTCTAGACGTCCGACATTTACCAATTATGGGATCAAATAGCAAATATTTAAATAGAATAAAAAGTAACTTACAATAATAAAATAATTAAAAGCCAAAAGCTTAAATCATGATTAATTAAAAATTGTATAGTTTAATATATCCAAAACATGTTTTTGTTTTTAGGTAAAGTGTAAAAATCTTTTATTTCTAGCTAATTCGGTACAATTATTTTATTAGTCTAGTTACCACGATTATATAAGTTTGTTAAAAGTATCTCCTACCATCAATCAGGGCCGACAAGTTTAATCTTCACAAGAATCTTAAAAATCTGTGTTATTTGTTTGGTAGAACAATCTTGGTGGTAAAGAGTTTCCAACTGATAAGATAATCTAAGGAAAACCCGATTTGTATATATCACTACTGTTTTTACTTCATAGAAATTTTAAAAACCCACTTTGAGTAAAATTATTGCAGACACATTATCTTTAACGTAGAAAGACTTCTAGAACTTTGTTTAATGAATAACCTCCGAATTAACAAAACATACTTTGACTACCCAATACAACATAAAATCACCTGGTCAGATACAAGAGAACGTAACTCTGTGATTGACTATAACAAATAAAAAAAATATCAAATCATGAATATGTTGCTTGTGTGAGTCCATTTCAAATAGGTAAAGAAATAATAAATAAGACTTACTCACAATCAATTTAATTTAACTATCAGACGACCGGTTTCGCTTTCTACAATATGCAAAGCATCTTCAGGTCTCGATACAAAGTTAAATAAATGATGCCGGTACTCTATTAATTGATGGATGGTAGAACATGGTTGAAACTACTATGTATTGTTGAATGGAGAACTCAATTCTGCTATTGTAGTTGTATGACAGTAAACGGGAAGTTTTGAGGAGATAGATTTGATCCAATGAAGCAGAGATATGTGTGTGATTGTTTGTTAAATGAAAGTGATTGTAATATACCATTGAATTATTAAAAGTTATTTGTACTTATTCGAGAGATATATTTATGAAATGTGTGTTATTTATTGAGTAATTGTTTTATGAACGTGACAGTTTTATGACAATGAATAAGTTTAGATGTACAAATTGTGTGGGTGTGCAATTATTTTTCAACTTGTAGTTATCAAATCTCTTTGATAAAGTTCTATTGGCAAAATAGTAGATTATTTCAAAGTCAAGTAAATAAAATATTAGAATTAAAACAATTAAGGACAATTTAAAACACACTAAAACAGAAAACACTTAGAAGGGACGAAACAAACATTAAATTTAAAAGGGGAAGGACTTTTATGCACTACATTTAAGTCTTGGGCACAATGAGTGCAAACACATAAAAAACTCATTGTGCCCAAGACTGAAATGTAGTGCATAAAAGTTCTTCCCCTTTTAAATTTAATGTTTGTTTCGTCCCTTCTAAGTGTTTTCTGTTTTAGTGTGTTTTAAATTGTCCTTAATTGTTTTAATTCTAATATTTTATTTACTTGACTTTGCAATAATTTACTATTTTGCGAATAGAACTTTATCAAAGAGATTTGATAACTACAAGTTGAAAAATAATTGCACACCCATACAATTTGTACATCTGAACTTATTCATTGTCATAAAACTGTCACCTTCATAAAACAATTACTCAATAAACAACACACATTTCAGAAATATATCTCTCGAATAAGTGTAAATAACTTTTAATAATACAATGGTATATTACATCACTTTCATTTAACAAACAATCACACACATATCTCTGCTTCATTGGATCAAATCTATCTCCTCAAGAACTTCCCGTTTACTGTCATACAACTACAATAGCAGAATTGAGTTCTCCATTCAACAATACATAGTAGTTTCAACCATGTTCTACCATCTATCAATTAATAGAGTACCGGCATCATTTATTTAACTTTGTATCGAGACCTGAAGATGCTTTGCATGTTGTAGAAAGCGAAACCGGTCGTCTGATAGTTAAATTAAATTGATTGTGAGTAAGTCTTATTTATTATTTCTTTACCTATTTAAAAAAATATATCATTTTAAACAATGAAAGCAATTATTACTTTAGCAAAAAATTGTCTGTCTTTACTTTGAAAATTAAAACATTAAATGTTACCTTTAAATTCACATATTTATGCACTTAAACTTCTGAAAATCCTGTAATTATCTCCGGGGCAGAAACTAAGTGAACCATTTCTGAACTGGAATAAAAGAAGACCATCTCCCTAATCTGGAACGACGATCAGAGACGACAAAAGAGGTTGTTCAGAAAACAGACGACAAACGAAGTTGTGGTACACCCTATGTACTGCTTTAAAATTATACCATGTTCCGGTATACTACACAATTCATTTTTCACTGCTACATACTTCAAAAACAGAAAACAACAAATTCGACGTATGAATTTGGATTCGTACTCAGCCCATACTCAGGTGCTCTTGCACCTACGGCGACCCAAGTAAGTATTACGAAATTCTCTTAAGAATTCGTTCAATTAACTTGAAAATAAACAAATGCTGAAATAACAAAACACAATGAAAATTAAAACGTAAAAGATTCCATTTCTACGACATATTAAAATTATAACACGACTTCGAATAAAACATTAAAAGAAAATGCCGAGAAAGTACTTACACATCTTTAAAATAATAAACGACTCTCAAATGGTTTATATTACTTGGCAACGCTAAAATGATTGAAAACACTTTTGCGTATTTTAACTTGAAAGATACGAACTAACAAGCATGAAAAAAAATTCTTCGTTTTATTCTTTAAACATATATGAGGGAATTTCAATATATTACATATACGAGGGGATTTCAATATACACTAGAAAAAATCAATGAATTGCAAATGCTACAAATCAATGAAAGCTTTAACGAATAAACACATATTAACTGATAGAATGCATAACATTATTTTTAAAAATATGGAACATTTTATGATTGTATAGTGTAACAGCAAGAACGAGGACATTTTCTTGTGAATTTTCATTTATATTTTTTTATTAAATGTAGTAATAAATAAACACTCTCTAAGTTATACTATAATTTTATTTCTTACCAATCTCAAGCCCTAAAATTAAAAAATATTTTTTTAAAGTGCATATATAAATGCATATTGCATATAATAAAGGCATATTTGGTTACTTTTTAAGTGCATGTTGCATGCATATTTTAACCATTTTTTAGAGCATATAATCCGTTCTTTACTTATAACGGTAATTAAGATATATTATAGTTTAAAAAGTTAAAAAAGTTAAAAAGTTAAATGAAAATTATGCTGAATCTGACACAATTTCCTTTTGTGACTTTTTTTATGACCCTTAAGCTAGCGCGGACCAATAAGCAGAATCCAATTTTAACCTACGTAATATTTTTTTTCACCCAGTTTCACTAATTTATTACCACAATAATAATTTTCCACCACCAAACTAACCTTAAGGGGAGCAATTCTGCTGGTTTAAGGTTCAAGCTAGCAGAATTCGAATAAAACTTTTTGTATATTGCATATTTTTTTACCCATTTTCACTAATTTATTATCGCTCTAATAATTTTTTCACCACATAAAACCACCCTTAAGGGGAGCGATTTTGCTGGCTTAACGGTTTAAATGTAAATTCCATAAAATTATGATAAAATTCCATAAAAAATTAGAGAGAAATTTACCAAAATTATTGGGTAGTAATAAATTAGTAAAAATGGGTGAAAAAATATGTCATAAGCAAAAAGTTTTTTTCCCTAAAGAATTCTGCTAGCTTGAAACTTAAGCCAGCAGAATCGCTTCCCTTAATGTTGGTTTTATGGTGGAAAATTATTAGGATGGTAATAAATTAGTAAAAATGTAAGAAAACATATTACGTAGGTTCAATTGGGTTCCGCTCATTTCTCTCCGCTAGCTTAAGTGTCCCAAAAAAGTCACAAAGGGAAATTGTGTCAGACTCGGCTTAATGAAGCTTTTTATTTAAATTTTTAACTTAAACTTTAAGTTTCTAAACTATAATATATCTTAGCTACCATTATATCAAAGAAAAGAAAATACAATGAAGATAAATTAAAATGTATAGAACAGAGCTATAAAAATAAAGAAATTAGAAACTTATATCAAGGGGTGAAAATTAGAAAGAGGGGTACCAAGGAAAACCTGGACACTACAAAAACAAAAGTAGAAGAAATTTAGTAAGTGACGAAGAAATATTAAGCAGATGGAAAGAATACGTTGAAGAACTTTTAAATGAAATTCCCACAACACAATATGAAAAGGAAGAAGAATGTGAAGGAAAATGTCGATCAAGAACGAATAGAGCAAGGACCGCCTAACGAAAAAGAAGTAAAAGAAATAATAGAGAAACTAAAGAATAATAAGAGCCCAGGAAGAGATGAAGTAACAGCCGAAAAGTTTAAATATGGAGGACCAGTACTAATTAAGCATTTGAAAAAGTTGCTAAAAGACATATGGGAACAAGAAAAATTTTCGAAGGAATGGACCGAAGCGATTTCACAAAAAAGGCGATAAAAGTTTTATGCTACAATTACAGGCAATGTAATTGCCTACTAAATGTTGCATATAAAATACTTGCAGTATATATAAAAGATAAGTTATCTCAAAATATAGATAATGACATAGGGGAATATCAATGTGGATTCAGAAGAGGGCACAGCACAGTGGATCAAATTTTCCTACTGCGCGAAATACAAGCAGAAAGCTACGAATATGAGAAACCTACAATGGCCCTATTCATCGACTTTAAGCAAGCGTTCGATAGGAATAAAACGCCAAGAAATATACAAAGCGGTACGTGAAATGGGAATTAGTGAAAAACTGATAAGAATGTAAAAGTGGCACTACGAAGAACAGAGAACAGGGTTAAAATAAATGGTGAAGAAACAGATAAGTTTGAGGTCAGTGAGGGGGTGCCACAAGGAGACCCACTGTCATCGCTGTTGTTCAGTATCGTCCTCGAAGTTACCATCAGAGAAGTTGGAATCAACAGGTCAGGACTTATATATCAAAGAAAACACCAATGCTTAGCATTCGCTGACGACATTGTACTGATAGCCAGAAGTAAGCAAGAATTAAAAGAAATAACAAAAAGATTAGAAATGAAAGCGAGAAAGAAAGGGATGTACATAAATGAAGAAAAGACCAAATAAATGGAATGGACAGAAAGAGATTACCTACAAGAACAATATCTGACAGTAATAACAGATGAAAAACCATATAAATTCGAAGAAGTAGAAATATTCCAGTATTTAGGAGCGACATTCACGAGAAGACCAAATATGAAGGAAGAAATCCAAGCGAGAATTATGGCCGGTAACCGTTGTATTTTTGCAGTAAACAATTTATTAAGAAGCAAAAACATACCTAGAAGAGCTAAGATAAGAATATATAAGACAGTAATAAGACCTATTGTATTATATGCCAGTGAAATATGGACAATGGACAAATCCGAGCAAGTCCTGCTGCAAGTCTGGGAAAGAAAAGTCCTGAGGAAAATATTTGGAGGTAAATTATGGAATGGTATATGAATAAAAAGACCAAATATGGAATTAGAGGAGATGTATGGAGAACCGAATATCGTAGGGATCATAAAGGCACAAAGACTGAGCTGGTTGGGACACATCCAAAGGATGGGAAACACGAGACTACCAAAAAGAAGGCTAATGGGAGGAATAGGAGCTAAAAGGAAGAAAGGCAGACCGAAAACCAGGTGGAAGAAGGATGTTGAAAAAGACAGAAAAATACTCAAAATACCAAACTGGAAAAAAAAAGCAACAAACAGAAAAGAATGAAAAGAATAGTAAACAAAGCCATAGGCCTCCTAGGCCTAGAGAGCTAAGTTATATATAAATATATATATATATATATATAAATATATATATATATATATAATATATATATATATATATATATATATATATATATACAGGGTGGTCCTTAAGTAATTGTACAAAACAAAACCGTAGATTCTACACTTTAAAATATTACGATTTAAGTCAAGTTGCTTTAATAAAATATTGATATTTAGAAAGACACAGGGTGTTAAAGCGAAAATTTAAAATTTTATTTTTAGCTATAACTTTCATGTTTGCCAACATATATGTATAAAAATTTACAACTGAATTCTGTTAAATATGAGAAATTATAATTTGATGTACACTTTGATGTAACTGATAGAGGGCGCCACTTATGCCACATATGTGGCATACATTTGCACGTAACTTTTTTACTATTAAAGTTACCGGTATTTTTAATACAAAATATTAAAGATACATTATTTTAACAAAAAACAGGTAAACTTGTTAATATCTTCAAAACTCAACAGTTTTCGATATAATCGCATTTTAGAAATCAACTACATAATTCTGATTTTTCGCAATTACTCCAGGCAACGAAAGAAAATTAAAGAAAAACATCAATACTTCTGAAATTTGGTATAAAATACCTTTAATAAAGTTACTAGTTAATGAATTATTAAATAAAATAAATATATCAGCAGGATAAAATAATAGGATTTGATAAATAACAGAATAATTGGATTTTAAATCAAATATTTTACGTTTTGTATTAAATTAAAGCCATAATCAAAACATTTTATTTACAAAACCAAATTAAGAAATAGTTAAAGTAAATAACATTAAACTTTTTGTCAAAGTACGTGTTCAATATGTCCACCATTTTCTTTAATTCATTTGTCAATACATTCCATAAAATATCGTTTTATATTAAATAGCGTCATTGGTTCTAAAGAAACTGCTGCAGTATTTATTATAAGTGTTATAAGTATAATATTAAGTAATTTTTTGAAATGTTTATGATATAAATAATTATAATAATATCTCACCACAAGAATATGACTACCATGAGCAATCCAACGTTCAGGAAAGTTGTATTTAAATACTGTCTCACTCCGCTTTCTCTCTAATGCAATGATGTACCATCTTGTAGAAACCACATATTTCGCCTTAAATTTGGTGACAATTCTTACAATAAATCATTAAAATTATTTTACAAAGAATGTAAATAAATCTCGACATTAAAATTGCAACGTAATTCGTATATCCGTAAAAAATAATTATCAATGGTTCCAAATGATAGGACATGCATTTTAAATATGAATTTTGAATGATATTTTACGGATATGCGAATTATCTTTCAATTTTAATGGTGAGATTTATTTACATTTTTTATAAAATCATTTTATTGATTTATTGGAAGAATTGTCATCAAACTTAGGGCGAAATATGTGCTTTCTACAAGATGGTATACCATTACATTACAGAGAAAGAGGAGTGAGACAGTATTTAAATACACTTTCCTAAACGTTGGATTGTTCATGGTAGTAAAATTCTTGTGGTGAGATAATAATACAATTATTTAATTCATAAAAATTTCAAAAAATTACTTATTATTATACTTAAAACAAGTATAATAAATACTGCAGCAGTTTCTTTAGAATCAATGATGCTATTTAATATGAGACGATATTATATGGAATATATCGACAAATGAATTAAAAAAAAAATGGTGGACATATCGAACACTTACTGTGACAAAAAGTTTAATGTTATTTAGTTTAACTACTTTTTAATTTTTTTTTGTAAATAAAATGTTTTGATTATGACTTTAATTTAATACAAAACGTAAAATGTTTGATGTAAAATCCAATTATTCTGTTATTTTATCAAATCCTATTACTAATTATCCTGCTGATATATTTATTTTATTTTATATTTCGTTAACTATTGACTTTATTAAAGGTATTTTATAACAAAATTCAGAAGTATTGATGTTTTTATCTATTTTTTTTTTTCATTGCCCGGAGTATTTGCGTTAAATCAGAATTATGCAGTTGATTTGTAAAATGCGATTATCTCGAAAACTGTTGAGTTTTGAAGTTATTAACAAGTATACCTTTTTTTGTTAAAATAATGTATCTTTAATATTTTTTATCAAAAATACCGGTAACTTGAAGAATAAAAAAGTTAAATGCAAATGTATGCCACGTATGTGGCATATGTGGCGCCCTCTATTAGCTATATCAAAGTATGCATCAAATTATAATTCCTGATAGTAAGTATTACTCAGCTGTAAATTTTTATACATAAATGTTTACAAACATGAAAGTTATAGCGAAAAATAAAATTTTACATTTCCAATTTAACACCCTGTATCTTTTTTAATATCAACATTTTATGCAAGTTGGCTTAAATCGTAACATTTTAAAGTGTAGAATCTACGGTTTCTTTTTGTACAATTACTTAAGGACCACCCTGTATAATTAGCAGTATAAGTGAGACAGATTACTTAAATTACTTATTAAAAAGATACTAATTTTACGTATGAGAATTTTTGTTACTTCTTCTTTTTCTCATTGGACATTGGCGATCATTCGGGCTCCCATCAGCTATTTTACAGCAGTTCCAAACAGTTTTCAGGATGTTTTACACTTTGACTGTCTCAGATTTTTCATCCAAGAGATGTTTCATCTACTCGGCCCTCTGCTTTCATTTAATTTATCCTGTATTATAACTTGGAAAATATGCTATTTATTTTTTCTCATCACATAAGCCAAATATGAGAGTTTTGTTTTTCTTTGCAGATCAGCTTTTGGTCTTGATCTATACTTCCTAAATTGTATTTTCTTTTGTTTTATTATTAATAAAAATTCATTATTCTTTGTAATATTTTTTACAATTAAAAATATTAAATAACTAAAACTTTTGTACCTGATATTTCTATTAGCTGTTATATAGGCAACAGTACACAACTAAGAATAGTCACGCTCCACACAGGCACTTTCTGAAAAAAATGGAACAGCAAATCACTCTGAGCACTTTCAAACAACACGACAACTCACAAAAGTGATATAGGCACTTTGCTTAATACAATTTAAATACTTTTTGACAAAATTAAATTAAAAATAACCATTAAATATTCGGTAATCGAAAAACAATAGAATAGATACATCATGGTTACATCAAAATCAGCATTTTAATAGTATTTCAAGAATATTAGCCTACAATAGCTGCTGTTAATCCGAATTAATCAAATGCAATTCAGACATGATTGTAGTTGCTTTTTAATCAGTATTATTTTTTGGTGGTTATAATTTTTGTTTTTTTTGGGCTATTGAAATTTTGAAATAAGAATCTTAAAATTGTTCTGAAGCTATTTTCTTGTGGCATTTTAAATTAATTACTATTTAACTGGGAATAAGCCACAATTAAAGGTAAAAAAAACGTTAATTGACGTTTCAATTTCCACTTCGGAAATCGTTCTCAAAATACAAAGAGTAAATTAAACAAATTTTGTTTTTTTATTACTTAGTGAAAAATTCTTCTAATAATTTAATTTTATCTGACTCATTTATATTCACAATTGAGACATACATCATGCATTTTAAAGTAGACGACTTTAAAATGATATTGCCAATATTGTTGAGTTGCGCTCCTGGGACGGCTTTACTTATAAGATAGTTCATTCGATTACATGACATGAAATCAACTTTAACCTGAGAATATCCGTCAGCAAAAAATTATAGCAAGTAATTCGTCTTTAAAAAGAACACATGACATGATGGCAGTATAATTCTCCTGTTAGTGATTCCATAGCAAATTATGAGGGAGAAACTAGGAAAAAAACCTCGTAATACTATCCCGACATGGTAAGTATTTTGTCGTGCATTTAGTTTACCTTCAATAAACACCAAATTCTGATTTTATATGTTTCGTTATTTAAAAAACATAAATGATGTATCCTTTATATGTTGTTGACTTACTAATACTGGTATTTTCTTATTAATAACTTTCTCTTTCAATATTGGTAACCAGATCCTACTACATTCTGCCGAGGAATTTGCGACACAATTGGTCTCATTTAGCATAATTAGAGCCGCTTATTTGATTTTTTATTTTTTACCATCCGTTTCTTTTAGGAAACATTTGAATTATTCCATTGAACCCTATGTTCATCATCCCATGCGTGTTTACATATTTGAGATCTATCAAATTCTCTATTTTTAATATAAGATTGATGTTCAGTTATTCTAACATTTGATGGCTTTGATGTTTCACCTAACTAAAACTGATCGCATTCACAAGGTATTTTATAAATACCTTTGTTCATTCTTATTCATTGTTAGGTTAAGTTTTAGATAAAATAGATCTCAATGTGTTTGTTGTTTTGAATGTTGTTGAAGTATTTTTTTGAAGTAGTTGTAGTTTTTGTAGTTTACACCTAGTAGTTACTTCTTCAATAAATTAAAGATGATATCTTAAACAGTGTTAAGTTTGATCACAAACAATCAAGTTTATTCATCGGTATAATGCTGCATAATGAGCGTTGATATAAAATATGGAGGAGAGACTAAAGAAAAATATGATTTTGATCTCTGTCTATTCAGTGGAAACACAATGTTAGTATGTCTGTTAGTATGTCACTAATTTTGTATTATTTATTTTTTTCTGTATCTTTATAGACTTTTCTATATGTCGTACGTACCTTGAATATACCAGGGTTTAACACTTTAAAATATTCACCTACGAGGGCTGATCGATACATGCTTACGTAGAGAAAGCTTAGAACCAAAATGGAAACATGGAATTTGGGATAATTTTGTTGTCATACATTTTGTTTTTAATACCTTAGAGTATTATTATGTAGAATTATATAACATAGATTCTACAACCAAATATCCTGGGCAATCAAGGAAAATCCTGGCCACTTCTTAATAATAGGTGGTGTTTTCAACGCCAAAATAGGCACTAAGACCTCTGAAATAATATTGGGAAATTTTGGAAGCGAAGACAGAAATGATAGAGGCAAACAACTACTGACTTTCCTTTTGGAAAACAATTTCTAGCAAATGAACAGCTTCTGTAAAAAGAAAAAACATAGAAGATGGACATGGGAAAGTCTTGATGGAAAAATAAGGAACGAAATCGACTATTTCTTAACAAACAAAAAAGAATTATTTAAAGATATAAATGTGCCAAACCAGTTCAGTATAAGCAATCATAGGTTAGTAAGAGCTAAAATAACGATATCAACCGAAAAAGAAAGACTCAAAATGATAAAAAAGAAACAACCAAAGAAATAGACAATACCAACTAATATTCAGGAGTTCGAAAAATATATTGGTAATTCATTGAAAGATACAACAACAGCAGACATCAATATATTGAACAAACAAATAGTCAACACAATGCAACAGGCTCAAACTAAATATTGTTCGACAAGCAAAAAAGATGAAAAACTGAATCAACCCACGAAAGCCCTTATAGAACTAAGGCGACAAATGAGAGGAGATAACACTACAAGCAAATAAGCGATAAATAAAATAAATAAGACGATTAAAAAGGCAATAAGAAAAGACATAAGAAACTACAATGTAGAAAAAACAAAACAGCCAATAGAGCAAAATAAGAACATAAAAGTTTTGAAGAGGAGCGTACAAAAGGGGAAAATAGAAATTAACAAACTGAGAAACAGAACTGGAGAAGAAACAACGAACAGAGATGAAATATTAAGAATAGTCGAAGAGTTCTACACAGAGTTATATAGATCAAGAAAAAAAGATAACAATACGGAACCTCCAATTACACTAAAAACTGGGGTATTAAACCAAGGATCAGAGTTAATGCCCGATATAACAAAATCAGAAATCAAAGAAGCCCTGAAGAAAATGAAAAATAATCGAACCCCGGGAGAAGATGGAATAGTGTCAGAAGCACTAAAAATTGGAAGGGATGTATTACTTGAAAAAATTAAACAACTTTTCAATATCTGCCTTCACAACGCCAATATTACAACAGACTGGAACAACGCTACTATGATTCTATTACACAAAGCAGGAGACACAGTAAATTTATAGAATTTTAGCTCGATTAGCCTCCTCAGTCGTATATAAGTTGTTTACGCGAATACTAGTTAAGAGAATGGAAAGAAATTTAGAGACTTATCAACCAAGAGAACAGGCAGAATTCCGAAAAAGTTACGGAACAAATGACCATCTACAAAGTATAAAAACCCTAGTAGAGAAAGCAGTGGAATACAATAAACCTCTGGTTCTAATATTTATCTATTTTCACAAAGCCTTTGACACAGTTGAGCTAAGCAAAATATTACAGCCGCTTAAAGAATGCAGGCTAGATTATAGATATACTAAAATATTATACAAAATATACCTGCAGGCAACAACCACTGTCAGATTAAATACTAACAGTAATCGCATAAAAATAAACCGGGGGGTTAGACAAGGAGACCCAATGTCACCTAAACTTTTTAATACAGTGCTAGAACATGCTTTTAAGAATTTGGGTTGGATGACAAAGGGAATAAAAATAGATGGAGAATATCTAAACAACTTACGTTTCGCCGATGATATACTTATAATAGCTGAAGATCTAGGTATGGCAAGAGAGATGGTACAGAAACTCGTTGTGGCTACACAAAATGAAGGTTTAAATATAAATATCTCGAAAACAAAAATCATGACCAATTTGGTACCCAACCAGAACATCAGTATTGGTGAGAAAGAAATAGAACTCGTAGATAGATATAAATACCTGGGACATGAAATTATGATTGGCAGGGATAACCAGACTCATGAACTGAAGAGATGAATCGGCCTTGGGTGGGCAGCATTTGGAAAACTGAAAGAAAATTTTAAAAGTGAGCTGCCCACATGCCTAAAGAGATAGGTATTTGATCAGTGCGTCCTCCCAGTCTTGACGTACGGAGCAGAAACACTTACCTTAATAAAAGCCGCAGCTACCAAACTGAGAGTTACGCAGAGAAGAATTGAGCGTCTGCGAGACAGAATAACCAACGAAGACATCAGGAGAAGAACCGGAGTGACTGACATCATCGAGAAAATAGCCAGACTAAAATAGAGATGGGCAGGACAAATAGCCAGAATGACAGATGGGCGATGGACAAAGAGGTTATTGGAATGGAGGCCAATGGAAGACAAGAGAAGCGTCGGTGGACCACCTACAAGATGGACTGACGATTTTAGAAGACTCAATAAAAACTGGATAAGAGCGGCGCAAGATAGACGGGGTTGGAAACACGAGGAAGAGGCCTATGTTCAGCAGTGGACTCTTGAGGCTGGATGAGGATGATTATTATTTTGTAGTTTTTGTGAGGTTAGAAGTTACATTATCACGGAAAGTTTATATTTTGTTCATAGTTACCTTGTGTCTCTCATAAGTGGTATTAATTAACTGTTGATCCATCGCAGTTTATAGAAAGGATGTTTATAGAAACTTTTCTTTTTGTGGTCGTTAATTATACTTAAAAATATGCTAAGACAGGCCATTCACGTTCCGACTTGTGGTCCCACTTAGTAGGACTACTAGTTGGATGTTCGTCTCCACTCACGCTCCGACTTTCTATCCAACTAGCGGTCCAACTTCAGTTCTAGGTTGTTTTCACGATGGTGTACATCGCTTAACCAAAAAATGTATCGAGTAAACACTACGCAAAATATATTATTATGATATGTATGTTTAAAAATTAGGTTTCGTTTCTCTAGTTATTTGTCTAGGGCTGAACTAATTAATTTTTTTAACTCTTGATTTTTATGACTTTTTAAGATGTAGGAAAAAATTATAGTTTTTAAAGATTTGTGTAGGTATAAAATCTATATTTTATTTGTTTTAAACTGGAGCTGGGATTTATTTTGTTGTGCGTGTGTCGTATATTTTTAATAGGAATAATTTTTCGTGCATTTAAAAGTTATTTTCTATTATTTTTTTGCGAACTAGGGATCTTTTGCTACAACTATGATTTAATTTTCATTGTTTGTTAATAATTCTTCCGTAGCCAATCCGGAGTATCGGAAATTTACCTGTATGGGAATATCCGAAATAGATCTACTGAAAGGAAAATGATTTGCCCTAACAAAAAGGTAATTTTAGTGCAATTAAAAGTTTATTTTCTATTAAATATTCGCGAACTAGAGATCTTTGCGTAAAGTATTTCATATAAATCTCATACGTAACAGATGCCGAAGGTCAACTGGCTGAGGAAATTTTCGATCCAACCTGTGATCCGACTTCCAACTTCACCATTCATGCTTCGACTTCGTCGCCAGTCGGAAGTCGGATCTTCAAGTCGTCCCACTAGATGTTCCGAGTCGTACCACTAGTTGTCCAACTAATCCAACTAGCCCACTCACGGTCCGATTTCAGATCCAACTGCAGAAGTTGGACCACTAGTCGTACCACAAGTCGGAACGTGAATGGCCTGCATAATGGATTTGCGTAGGCAAAAACTTTATTTTTTCTTTTCTTTTTTTAGCAGTTTTTATATATTTTTTAGACTTTATTGATTTTATTTAAAGACGTTTGGATTAAACACTTTAAAAACTAATAGGTCTAATAGGATTTTTTTAAACAGTTATTTGATATAATTTTATTTTGATTTCAACTTGTAATATTACGGATTGCCTTCAGCCTCACCTTCTGACAGTGATAAATGATCTGCCACAATGTAAATTTAAAAATAAAATAGATGTCAAGTAACTAACGCAGTTTATTAATATAAAATATCAAGTAACAAAAGTGCAATAAATTTTCTGTTTATGCATAACTTTTTCTAAAGTATATGTACAGAGTTTCTAATGTACAAACATAAATATACCGTTTTCTCTGGCGTTAGTGACTTTTTAACTTAATAGTAGCATTCCTAAACTCTTCTTTCATATCTTTGTCATCCCAACCCCACACACAGTCCTCCTCAAAGTTGTGATGCTCTTTTCTATTACTATTTTCTAAGGGAACTTTATCGAAATTGTATGATCCATCTCCTGTTCTTGCAGCTCGTTTATTGATCATCTCTTCCGATACTGTCTTGAGATCGTATGCTTGTTTCAAATAACCCATGAGATCCAAAAAGCCAGTAGTTAAGTTAGCTCTGTAATTTCCAAGTTCGGCAGCTTTGTAGTCCCATGGGAAGGTATGGTGGTAGTTGTGCCAGCCTTCTCCCAAGCCTATTATAGCTACGGTAGCGTTTTCAGCTGGATTGATGGATCTGTGATAAAAAATAATCAATAAATATACATACTTCTAGTTTTACTAACATAAGTAAATAAAAATTAGACGATACTTCTAGATGGTGGTTGTATGGTCAATATTTTAGGTAGTATGTGAAAACAAAATTACATATATTGTTCTGAAGCTATTTTCTTGTGGCATTGTAAATTAATTACTATTTATTAACTGGGAAATAAGCCACAATTAAAGATAAAATACGTTTATTGACGTTTCAATTTCCAATTCGCAAATCGTTCTTCAAATACAAACAGTAAATTAAACAAATTTTGTTTTTTGTTACATAGTGAAAAAATTCTTCTAATAATTTAATTTTATCTGACTCATTTATATTGACAATTCAGACATACATTATGCATTTTAAAGTAGACGACTTTAAAATGATATTGCCAATATTGTTGAGTTGCGCTCCTGGGACGACTTTACTTATAAGATAGTTCATTCGATTACATGAAATCAACTTTAACTCGAGAATATCCGTCAGAAAAAATCATAGCATGTAATTCGTCTTTAAAAAGACAAACACATGACATGATGACAGTAAAATTCTCCTGTTAGTGATTCCATAGTAAATTATGAGGGAAAAAACCAGAAAAAAAACCTCATAATACTATCCCGACATTGTAAGTATTTGTTCGTGAATTTAGTTTACCTTCAACAAACATCAAAATTCTGATTTTATATGTTACGTTATTTAAAAAACATAAATGATGTATCCTCTATATGTTACTGACTTACTAATACTGGTATTTTCTTATTAATAACTTCCTCTTTCAATATTGGTAACCAGATCCTACTGCATTCTGCCGAGGAATTTGCGACACAATTGGCCTCATTTAGCATAATTAGAGCCGCTTCTTTGATTTTTCTTTTTTTACCATCCGTTTCTTTTAGGACTATATTTGAATTATTCCATTGAACCCTATGTTCATTATCCCATGCGTGTTTATATATTTGAGATCTATCAAATTCTCTATTTTTAATATAAGATTGATGTTCACTTATTCTAACATTTAATGGCCTTGATGATTCACCTAAATAAAACTGATCGCATTCACAAGGTATTTTATAAATGCAATTCTTTGTCCTTTCTTGTTCATTGTTAGGTTTGGTTTTGGACAAAATAGATCTCAACGTGTTTGTTGTTTTGAATGTTGTTGAAATGTTGAATTTATTTCCTATCCTTTTAAGTTTTTCTGATAATCCTTTTATGTACGGTATTGTTATTTTATTCATATTATTCCTTGTGTATGCTGTAGGATCTCGTTCTAAGTTGTTCTGTTCTATCGATCGATTGTTGAAAATTCCTTATTTATAAACGATAAAGGATAATCATTTTTTAATAAAACAAATGTTAACAAATGTTTCTCCTCCAAGAACGAATTTTCGTTAGAACAAGTAATTTTGGCTCTATCGTATAAGGATTTAATTATTCCCTTTTTTACATTAATATTGTGATTTGATTTGAAATTTAAAATATCTATTGGTGTGTGTTGGTTTTCTATACACCTGAGTCTCATATCCAGTATCGTTCTTAGAGAATAAAACATCCAGGAAAGGTAGCGTGTTATTATATTCCTTTTCCATGGTAAATGTTATTGTCTCTTCTTTATCGTTTATATCGTTTAGGAATGAGAACGATTTCCAAATTGGAAATTGAAACATCAATAAACGTATTTTTATCTTTAATTGTGGCTTATTCCCAGTTATAAATAGTAATTAAAATTACATATATTATTAGATCCATATAAAAGAGTACGACCGTCAAACAATTATTCAATGAGTAAGTTCCAAAAGAACTAAATCTTTTGATCACGAGGACATCGGTCAAAGGAGGAATAATAAAAGGAAATCACAGTTCCATTTCTATACTTGAGGACGCTTCGCTTATTGTATTTACAAGCTTTATCAGTTTAATCTAAAAGAATACAATGGTGGTAAGCAAGAATATCAAACATGGAAAAATAACTTACGAATGGTGAGTGAAGAATGATAAGGTGTAAAACAAACACACCATTCTCTTGGTAACCGTGGTCAAAATTTTTTAACTTTAATATTTTGACCACGGTTGCCAAGAGAATAGTGTGTTTGGTTCTTTTTGGTGATTTAGTTCTTTTGGAACTTACTCATTGTATATTATTAGAAGTACAAAATTTAAAAAGTAATCATTATACAGAGTGGACCAAAAGTCTGGAAACGGCTAATTATCTCGTAAAATGCTAATCATAATTGTACAAAATTTGAGGTACAAATATTTTGGGATACGGAGATTCCATATTTGATATTCACAATGTTGCCAGATTTTGCCGTTTTTATTATATTATTAATAACTTTGGTTTTTCAAATACATCACCCTGTATATTCAGTCATTACTGGAATCTCCTATTCAATACGAGTTCAACCATATGTAACACTTATTATTTTATGTAATCTGGAAGGTCATAAATACATAAAACCGAAGTCTGGCAACACCTAAATTGTTTTATTAAATTTTTTAATACTAACTATTTTTCAAATACATTAAAACGTAACAATTGATAGTTTAGAACATTTTTTAACATAGTAGTAGCACTTCTCCATGATTGTCTAGAAATTATTCGAGATTCTTTGATAATTCGTTGCCTTAGCTCTGCAAGACTTGCTGGTTAAGTTTCCTAAACTGAATTTTTCAAGTATCCCTAATACAAATAATCTTTAGGATTGAAATCGGGTGGAACGTGGAGGGCCATTCAATTCTACCTTGTCTACCAATTTAATCTTCCAGAAATATCTCATCTAAATATCGCCGAACATTTACACCACCTATCTGACGTTAAATTTCTTTTGACAAAAAATGACCCAATTAAATAAGTAACTACTATATCTGACCATACATTTAATTTTTGTAGTCTTTGAATATGGTTTTCATGCATTCAGTCTTCAGTGTGAATTTACGTCACACCAGTACCTTAAATTGTGTAGAATTACACTTCCACACAGTGTAAAAGTTGCTTCATCGGAAAAACATATTCTGTTAACGAAATTTTAATAATTTTCAATTTTATCCATCATTACCTCAGTAAACTCTAATCTACGACCAAAGTCATCTTCACTTAATTCTTGCAATAAGTTAATTTTGTATGATTTAAATTTATTTTTACATAATAAACGTAAGACTGAAGAATGACCTACATCATGTACTTGTGCAACCCTGTCTGGGGATGTATGTGGATCTTCAACAAAACTTTGCTTATATCTGAAGTTTTGTTGTCATTGATAACTCGTTTCGGTCAACCTGATCGGTATCTATCTTTTACTTCTACAGATTCCTCAAATCGCCTTACAGTTTTTTGTACCGTCGTCTTATGAATAGGTGAACATATGGTTGAACTCGTATTGAATAGCTGAACGCGTGTGAAATTCACACTGAATGCGTGAAAACCATACTCAAAGACCACAAAAATTAATTGTATGGTCAGTTGTAGTAGGTACTTATTTAATTGGCCATTTTTTATCGAAAGAAATTTGACGTCAGATAGTTCGTGTAAATTGAAAAATTCAGTTTACAAAACTTAACCAGCAAGTCTTGAATAGCTAAGGCAATTAGTTATTGATGAATCTCGAATAATTTCTAGACAATCATGGAGAAATATGGTAGACGCATTCTACCATCGATTAGAGTGCTGTCAACTCACAAATGGAGCACATTTAGAACACTTAATAACGTAACTATTATGTTAAAAGATATTCTAAACTATCAATTGTTTACGTTTTAATGTATTTGAAAATAGTATTAAAAAATGTATTGAAACTCGTATTTAATTAGGAAATTCCAATAATGACTGATATATACAGGGTGATGCATTTGAAAAACCAAAGTTACTAGTAATATAAGAGAAACTGAAAATCTGGCAACATTGCAAATAGCAAATATGGAATCTCCGTATCCCAAAATAAGTGTATCTCAAATTTTGTATAATCATGTCTAGTAATTTACGAGATAATTAGCCGTTTCCAGACTTTTGGCCACTCTGTATTAGTTTATTTATCTCACAATAATTGGCATTACAAAAATAAACATTTAACAGCAGAATACCTTTAACCCTTTTCAGTCAAATGATCTCATTTGGGATTATAACAATGTTTTCTACTTTAGCGTCAAAAGAAACTACTTATATGTCGATTTGGTGAACGGTATTGCGTTGCCTCACCTTCCTTATAGATGACGCTGCAATAATAGTGAAAAAACGATCGTCAATTCACTGTAAATATCATTCTAAGGTGAGTAATTGAACCAGTAATTGCACAAAAAAATTTATTTGGCTTCTTACATTGTTTTTATTTGATAATTTGCATTATAGTTTGCTTATATTTACAAGATTGTTTATGTAAACATTATAATTATCAATGAATCCAAATAGAATAATTGGGCCATTGTGAAGGTCTCCAAACGGCATCATTGGAGTCGTGTAAATTTTGTTACTGTCAATAAAATACAAAAATACAATATACTTTTTTATTTCAAATGGATCGAGTGTTCAAAACTACCAAAACCAATCTTTCTTCTTGAGAATTGCAAAATCTGTCCCAGGAAGAGGTAGTTGATCTTCTTGACGACTCTGATATCGAATTTGATGTTGATGATGAGAAAAAGACTTTGAAAGAAGAAATTATTGAAGAAACTCAAAGTTTCTTCAATCAGACACGTCATGCCAAGAAAAAAAAGCATAAAAAAAGCAAATGAAACAGATCACCCTTCTCCAATTCAAATCTCAAGTTGGACATACGTTACTAAACGCTGGAAATTCTGACAAGAGACAACGAGGACGTCCTCCTCAAGAGAATACACCAAATAAAAGACAAGTAATGAATCCTGCACCAGAAGATGTTCGATTTGATGGCGTAGGACACTGGCTACTACATAATCAAAATCGCACAAGGTGCAAAT